CGGAATGTCTTATTTGGCATAACACACGGAGAATGTAAATTAGAAAAAAATTCAAAATCCATAAATTTCCTAAAATCAATTCAGGATCCCATGGAGAATCTACGGAGTCATCGCATTCTTCACCGTCGCCACAATGGGATTATCGAATGCCTCCGTTGGATATTTGAACTATCCAACCCAAGTGATTTTCAAGTGCTGTAAACTCATTCCGGTGTTGATTGGTGGCATTTTGATCCAGGGAAAAAGATATGGATGGATTGATTGTGGGGCGGCGGCGCTCATGAGTTTGGGGATTATCATGTTCACATTGGCTGATAATAAAGTGTCGCCGAATTTCGATTCTCGTGGATATATTATGATTAGTGGGGCGCTTTTGGCTGACGCTGTCATTGGAAATATTCAGGAGAAGAATATGAAAAAGTATGGAGGATCGAGTAATGAAGTGGTGAGTTTGGTGTCGATTTACGAGGCTCTGCCTATTTTTTCAAAGCTGCGGTGCGGGTTTTTTTTCTGGGGAAACTCGACAAATTTAGAGCGGGAAATACCTAAATATAAGGCTAGTTAACTGAAAAATCTAGCTCTTAAGCTACAGTAATCCTGTACAATTCTGCAAACTGTCGTAACGGTGTTTACGGAAAATTTTGAATTTTAAACAAAAAATGGGGTTTTCTCATTTTCAATCACTTCCCAGAAGTCGTGAATTTGAAAAGCAAATCAAAATTATAGAAAAATCTAGTGTCGATTTACGAGACTCCGCCTATTTTTGCAATTCTGCGGCACGGAGTTTCGCAACTTTGCCGCATGAGTTTTCGACAAGCCTTTTTCTTTTTTTCCTGATAATTAGACGGTTAAAAAACGGTTAAAAACCTGAAATTACGGCCTGTCAACACTCAAATCTATAAAGTTATAGCTACAGTACTTCCTGAAAATTCTGCAAATTGACGTGACGGTGTTTGCAGAAAAATTTCAATTTTGAGAAAAACCATTTTCCGATTTTTTCAATGAATATTCCAAAGATTAGGTTAATCCGTCACATTTAGGATGTGAATCCCTAGAGAAAAATACGAAAAATTACAGAAAATTTTGAAATTTTCCGAATCTGGGAATGACCAGTGGAGCGCATTTCCTCATAACAAAATCTCCATTTTTAGGTGCTCTACTCGTACGGAATCGGCTCTGTCTTCATCTTCACCTACGTCGTTTTCTCCGGTGAAATCTTCAGCGCCATTCCATTTTTCTTCGAAAACTCATGGAAAACCTTTGGCTACGCACTAATATTCTCATTTCTCGGATACCTTGGAGTCAACGTCGTCCTCACCCATATCAAAGTTTTCGGAGCTCTTGTCGCCGTCACTGTGACGACACTCCGAAAAGCTCTGACTATCATTTTATCATTTCTCCTCTTCTCAAAACCATTTACCATCGAATATCTCTATGCGGGTTCCGTTGTCATGTTGGCGATTTATTTGAATTTATACAGTAAAAACAAGACGTCGTGGGATAATATGGCACGGAGATTCATGGCAAGAGCGATGGGATATCGGGATGTTTCGGTGACGAGAAAAGATCCAATGCTGGTTTAATTCTGTGATTGAAATTATTGATTTATTAGGGTTTACCGGGTATTTATTGCTTGCTTTTCATATGTGATATTTTACAAAAAACGATAGCTTTCACAAATAATTTATTTCATTTTTTTGTTTGAATTCATTCCATAAAAAGGAACAGTATTTTGGGGGATTATTTACAAATTATTTTCAGAGAAGTTCACAAATATTCGGCAAAAAATAGTAGTAAGTGGTTTAGGGGGACTTCTGATGCAGACCCGAGTGCAGAGAAACAGTTTTTAAGGGGGGCTCTGCTGGAGAAAAACAAAAAGAAATGAATGAAGAATGTGGAACACAAATAGAATGAGAGGAAGAAAGGGAGTTTTTTTTTGTAAAGCTGGAAGAGAAAAAGAGACGCAGAGAAACGAGAGCATTTTATTCACTGTCAGCCGGAGATGAGGGACGTGGAGTTCGTGGCATTTCGAGGGCTGATGGAGCATCGATGGCGGTTTCACATGGATGGACGACGATGGTTGGGGTCAGGTCGTCACCGTTGTGTACTTCGTATCTGGAAATTTGGAGTTTAGAAAATGAGAAAATGCGCTCTACTGATACTTTAGAAAATTTCGGATTAGTAGTGAGAACCCCTCTAATAGAAAGGCACAAAGAATCAGAAGTTGGCTGGAATTCAGATTTAGAATTTCGAAAATAGGGAATTACGCTCTATTGATAATTCGGAAACTTTTGAACTAGAATTGAAAAACCTCCAATACAAAGGCACTAAAAATTAGAATTTGGCTGGAATTCGTTTCCGGAAATTTCAAATTCAGAAAATAAGAAATTGCGCCCTATTGATAAACTAAAAAAACGGTCGATTTAGAAGTGGAACCGGTTCAAAAAAAAAGGCTCAAAAATTGAGGAATTGACCGGGATTGTTTGGAACATTGGGTGGCGCAGTGTGGGTCTTATCACGACAAAAATTTCTTACCGTAATTTTTTTCTTTGCAAAAAATTACAGTAACAATTTCAATCGTGGAAAGACCTTCTCGAAAAATTGCCTGTGTCTTTAAAGTTATCCCAGAACTTATTTTCATTCATGGTATTATAATAGGATTCAGAATCCTAGAATCCCGATTTTCGAAAAATCCAAAATTCTGAAACTTCAGGACTTCTGAATTCGCAAGAATTTCCAAAATTCAACTTCGAAAAAAAAAATTTTTTTCCACACAGTTTTCAAAAATACAGTAACATCTTCAATCGTGGTGAGACCTTCCAAAAAACTGCATGCTTCTTTACGGTTTTTTGCAGGTTCCTAGTTATTTTTTTACATTTTCATCTTTTTCATGAGTCAATTCTACTTTCAAATTATCACTAGGTTTCCAATTTCCTGTCTCATTTCCGTTCAATCTATTTTCAACTTGATTCAAAAATAACTCTAAAATCCCCATCCACCCCCTTCAAAATCTCAAAATAACTATTGAAATTCATAATTGTGACACCCTTGACATCAAAATTTAAAAAAAAAACTTTTTTTTTTCGAATCCGCGCAAAAACTCACTTCTCATCAATGGCAAACGAAGCCAATCTGGCCATCAAATCGAAATTACAAACAACTGGAGGCATATCTTTCGTCTGTTCCCATCCGACTGGTGGTGAACATGGTGGTGAAATCAAAAATTGTTTCTCAAGTGGAGGGGGTTGGAGAGTCAATCCAGAATTGGCACTCATATAAATCCTTTGAGCAAAGAATGCCTTCAATTCGTGTCCCTTGAATGAGAACCCTTGGACGATTAGTTTGGCGGCAGTCGCGTTTTCAGGAGAGCTGAAAATTATTTGGGGATAGGAAGTGAGCGATTTTGAAAAGAGGAATTCAGAAAAAAAAACCAAAGAAAATGGTCAATTTCCTTCTGACTCACGAGAAAATGACTCGAACTCGACGGAAGCTTCGAAGGAAATCGAAATGAATTTGTTCCTCGATTTGTGTGAATAAAGAGGCGAAGTTGGCTTTGTCTTGTCTGTTGTCGAATACCTGGAAAGATAGAAAAGGTTTGGAGGGAATTCAAATTTTTGGTATACATAGAAAAATTACTACAGTAGTCCTAAAGTTTCAAGATTAAAGGGTCTTCCGTACTCCGGGAAACATTATTTTTGGGAAAATTAGCTAAATGAACTTTATTTCTATTTGAATTTCATGAATTTCTAGAAATTTTCGATAAATTCTTGAGAAATTGTAGTCCGATAAATGTGAAAAATTATGATTTCCGAAAAAATTGCTACAGTATCCTCAAAGTTTTTCAAATTAAAGGAACATGTTTTTTCGAAAAAAATAACTAGGTTTTTTTCATTTTTTGGAATTTTGCATTTTTTTCTCGAAAAAAGGTGTAATCCAGAGAAAATGAAGAGCTGTAAAGCAATAAAAGTTTTGAAAAGCTCAAAATTCTGTGATTTTTCCAAAAATTGCAACAGTAACCCAAAAAGTTTTTGATTAAAGGATCATGCGTTTATTTTTTTGAAAACTCCTTTTTTTTCCAAAACCAAACATTTTTTCCTCAATTTTCAATGTTATTATTTCTCCGAAAACCCAAAAATATGGTTTGCTAATCAATAGAACCGACGAAAACTCGAAACATGCAATTTCTAAAAAAATTGCTACAGTAACCCCAAAAGTTTTTTGATTAAAGGAACATGCATTTTAAGAAAATTACTATTTTCTCAAAACCAGTTTTTTTCTCATTTTTTCGAGTAAAATCTAACTTTTCCTAACCAAATTTCCTGAATTTTTGCACTTACAAATTCCGGAACCTGAGTAACAATAATAGCATTTGGGAGGTCCTCCTTACTGGAGACTGTACTAATCAACGATCCATTGGCGACGGATTTCGCCGATTTTTCCGAATTATCAGCAACCATTTTATTTGAAGGAGATGGAGAAGAAGATGGCTGAAATGAGTGAAAATAAATGAAAAAACATTTTCTCTATCTTCTTTTTTTGGGAAAACGCGTGGGGCGGAGTGAGGGACGGGGGCGTTTGTTTCGAGACGGAAATCGGTTGCCGGAGGGCACAATTCCAAACTCTTTTTCTGTCGAATCACATGTGGATTCTGAGGGGTGTGAAAAAGACTGGAAAACTTTCTAGGGAAAAAAACAGATTGGTGAGGAGGAACGAAGAACAGTGGTCTCGGAGAGAAAGAATCAATTGAAAACGCGAGAGAGCAGAGACGGAGATGACAAGAGAAACACCTTGTCAACGTCATCTGGGGAATTGTTCTGAAAGAGAAGAGGATTCTTTTTCGATGACTTATGACACTTTTGGTTCCTTTTTTTGCTTTGAAGCGGAACTTCTTGGGGGTGGGGGAGGCAAAAGAAAAGGAAAACAACGAAAAAAAGGAAATAAATAAGTTTGCTGGGAGTTCTGATGTTAAAAAAGCAAAGAAAAAAGAAGAAAAAAAGAATTGACCCCACCCGGAGTCGAACCCGGGTTGAAAATTTCAAAACCTAGCGCGTTAGCCACTGCGCCATGGCGCAATGAGTTGAAAATAGGGGAGAGGGCATAGAGGATACTGCGCATTTTTCAAGCTGGAAGAAGGGGAGGGGGTGGGTAGGAGAAGCACCTGTACACTCGGGTAGAAAAATTTCCAGAAGTTTCATCATTTTTCCTGAGACGAAATTAAATTATGACGCTTCCAATTTCGAAATTCCTGCTCACCGGAAGAAAGCGAAGCATTGACTCATTGTGAAATACAGAACACTTCCCATTGAACACATATTTATATAAACCTCCCCACCTGGATACATTGTGTTCTTTTCGACTGATCCGCGCGGAAAAATCGGAGAAAGAGAGAGAGAGAGAGAGAGAGAGAGAGAGAGAGAGAGAGAGAGAGAGAAGGGGAACTGGACGACAGGGTTTCAAGGGAACGGAATGATGTCATGGAGACTGTTTGTTCACGTGAACGGACAGAAAAATGAGATGGTATGACGTTGGAAAGGAGATGGAAGAACTAGGTGTGCCTTCTGGAGGATTAGGTGCAAGAATCATGGGAATGGGTATTTAATGGAAAGTGATATTGGGGGTTTTTGAACTTGGCGAAGTTTGTCGGTATCATAACTTGGTTGGGAGAAGATATTTTAAAATATTGTCAACTAGTAATATTCAGGAAATTACAAACTGAATAAGTTTGTAGTTGACAACTTTTTGGTATCTTCACTTTCAGCCGAGATATACAGCTTCAAACTTGAACAATCTCCTGAAACCGGTAAGACCAATCCACAATTAGCTTGAACCACCATAACTTGGTTGACAGTTGAGTTACAAAAAAGTTGTCAATTAATAAAATGTTTAAAATTACAAACTGAATAAGTTTGTAGTTGACAACTTTCTGATCTTTCTGTTCCTAACTGAGATAAGACGTTTCTAACACAAAGATTCTTGTAATACTGATAGACTGAAGGATCCCTAGATTGTAGCTACATAACTCGGATGACAGTGAGTATAGAAAAAAATTGTCAATTGTCAAAATGTGCAAAATTGCCAGATGAACAAGATTGTAGTTGACAACTTTTTGATATCTCCACTCCTAACCGGGATATACTGCTTCAAACGTTGACAGTATCAAAAATCCGGTAAGACTAAAGAACCATCAGTTTGAATCTCCCTAACTCGACTGGCAGTTGAGACAGAAAAGAGTTGACAAATGATTCGGTGTGCAAAATTTTCAGCTGAACAAGTTTGTAGTTGAAGACCTTTTTGATATCTCCACTCCTAACCAAGATATCTGGCTCCAACTTAAAGGGGTACTAATGTAATTGTGAAAAAATACTTTTTATATAGGTTTCGATGCAGAATTTGATTTCCGGAAGAAAACTCTCTTGGAGGATGGTCTGAAAATGACTCGTTCAGAAGTTATGGGTCAAAAACACGCGGAAAAAATGAACGTAGAGGGTGCAGATTCACCATTTTTATAATGGAAAAATTCGCAGAGGGTGCACGCGTGAAAAAGAATAAAACAATACAATTGTACTGAAAATTTTGGAAGCTCTACTTTGAAAGACCATAACTCTAAAACCAGATAAGATATTAAAAAGTTGTCAATTGAAAAAATATGTGAAAATTGATGCTCTTCAGATCACCAGTTAACAACTTTTTGATATCTTTCACGGTTCAAAAGATATGCTCAAAATTTGGAAGCGCCACTTTGAGAGAGCATAACTTTAGGGCCAGATGAGATATTAAAAAGTTGTCAACTAAAAAAATATGTGAAAATTAATGGTCTTCCGATCACCAGTTGACGGCTTTTTTCTATATCATCTAGCTCTAAAGTTATGCACCCTCAAAGTAGCGCTTCCAAATTTTGAGCCTATCTTTTGAACCGTGAAAGATATCAAAAAGTTGTTAACTGGTGATCTGAAGAGCATCAATTTTCACATATTTTTTCAATTGACAACTTTTTAATATCTTATCTGGTTTTAGAGTTATGGTCTTTCAAAGTAGAGCTTCCAAAATTTTCAGTACAATTGTATTGTTTTATTCTTTTTCACGCGTGCACCCTCTGCGAATTTTTCCATTATAAAAATGGTGAATCTGCACCCTCTACGTTCATTTTTTCCGCGTGTTTTTGACCCATAACTTCTGAACGAGTCATTTTCAGACCATCCTCCAAGAGAGTTTTCTTCCGGAAATCAAATTCTGCATCGAAACCTATATAAAAAGTATTTTTTCACAATTACATTAGTACCCCTTTAACGTTCCCTCCACCTTCTCCCATAAAAGCAAGTCACATGTTTTGCATATATCTTTGACTTGTTATTACTTTTTAAAGCCATAATTCTGCATTTTCAGATCAGACCTATTTATCATGTCTCTCTCTCTCTCTCCATTACAACCAAAAAACATGAGAAAATGATAAAGTAGCCTAGGAAAATGTTATGAGAGGATTACTCATAAAGCTAGGGAGGCTTAGAGCTGCCATATCTTGGTTAGGAGTAGAGATATGAAAAAAGTGTTAACTACAAAAATGATAATCGTAAAATTTGTGATATTTTATTAGTTGACAACTTTTTTGTATCTCATTTGGCAATCATGATATGGAGCTTCAAACTGACGAAGGTAGTGGAGCTGTTTTTGAATACGCTCCTGGTTTGAAGCCTAGTATCTCAGTAGCCAAAAGAGGTACCAAAAAGTTGTCAACTAACAAAATGTGACAAATTTGATGAAAAATATTTTATTAGTTGACAACTTTTTGTTATCTCTTCTCCTAATCGAGATATACCGCTTCAAACTGCTGAGAAATTCAGAGCCGGAGTTTCAGAATGATGGGCGGAAACTCTGTGGCAGAAAGGACAGTCTATTGGCATCTTAGAACACAAAATGGTTTTAAGTTCTAGAATTTTGGAACGAGTAAGTTAGAATAGCAAAAAAAGGAAAATGGAAAGTTGAGAACACTGCCAGGAAAAAAAAAGAAAAAAGGGGCGGAGCCTGAGAATGGGAGGAACTGAAATAAGGTCAAGGGGTTAAAAATAGAGTCTGAAAATGGCTTCAAAAATATAAAATTAGAAAAAAATGGTCGAGAATTTCGTCTAGAGAAAGTTTAGCCTAAATTTTCAATTTTAGAAAATTCGAAAATCTTTTTTTTTTTGAGAAATTGGAAAAAAATCAACTTTTCCTATCGGGAATTTTTTTTCAATTTCGCGCGTAAAAAAAAGTTTTCCAAAAATAAATTCCTTGATGTTAGATGTCGTTCTTCTCCCATTAACGTCACCACACCTAATCTTATCATCCTTACAAGGGAGGTCATTTCAAAAACCGTTTGAGATTTCGCTGAAAAACTTTGTGG